TGAAACGAACCTTTTATATCCCACTGCAACTCTAAATTCGCGTACTGATACGTAACTGTTTTGAAATTTAATTTGAAGTATAATATAAAATTTTACATATTGAAATTTTTAAACGATACTTCACACATCAGAGTAAATTCACCATCTTAAAAATTGTAAATTCCTCGTTCATTTATATCCGAAGGCTGCTATATCGTTGAAACTCCCTTCGAAATGTTTCGAAAACTTGTAACATTTTTCGACCGTCGAAGCAGCAGAGGCAGCTGATCCGGCGGCGACAGAAAATTGTCACCGAGTCTGTCGAGAAAGCCGAGAACCGACAGTACTCCGAGGCAGGCGTAAAATAAAAGCGTCGCGGTAGCTACTAAACTGTTCCTCCATCCGCCACGGTATACGATAAACGCCCGGTTTTACGTGCAAATCAGCGCGAAACTTCGAACGACCATCGCTTCCGACGTGCTCGGAACCTTTCCACCGCGAGCCGCTTAAAAGCCGCTCCCTTTGCGAGCCTCCAAATGGTCCTCCAGAATGCATCGCTGCCAGGCGCGCGGCTTTAACGCGTACGGAAAACGCAAAAGAGCAAGATGGGGACCAAGGATTTCCTTTAGAGAAAAACGTCCCCCCCCCCCGCGATAGTTACCATCGTGTAAAGTGCCGAGCTTCGAATACACCGCTCGTAACTATTCGCACGATTTTAACAGTGTCCATTTCATTCTGTTCCTCAAAGGCTTCATCAAACCTTTCATCTTCCGTTGGTTAGATCATTCGTCAATTTATATTCGATACGATCATTTCATAATACCAGAAACACGATCGAAAATATTTCCACGGAAATTAAGGTATAGATTACGGTTTTTTACGTAGGAAAAATATTGTCATTATTCAAGATTCGTGATATTTCTACATTGTTTAAAAAACAGAGGATCGTTAGATTAGCAAAATAATGTATATTCTCAGTTTTCCAAAACAATCTGTAAAAATAGAAATTCATTCTATTCCTCAAAGGCTTCATCATACCTTTCATCTTCCGTTGGTCAGATCATTCGTCAATTTATATTCGATACGATCATTTCATAATACCAGAAACACGATCGAAAATATTTCCGCGGAAATTAAGGTATAGACTATGGTTTTTTACGTAGGAAAAATATTGTCATTATTCAAGATTCGTGATATTTCTACATTATTTAAAAAACAGGGGATCGTTAGATTAGCAAAATGATGTACATTCTCAGTTTTCCAAAACAATCTGTAAAAATAGAAATTCATTCTATTCCTCAAAGGCTTCATCAAACCTTTCATCTTCCGTTGGTCAGATCATTCGTCAATTTATATTCGATACGATCATTTCATAATACCAGAAACACGATCGAAAATATTTCCGCGGAAATTAAGGTATAGACTATGGTTTTTTACGTAGGAAAAATATTGTCATTATTCAAGATTCGTGATATTTCTACATTATTTAAAAAACAGAGGATCGTTAGATTAGCAAAATGATGTACATTCTCAGTTTTCCAAAACAATCTGTAAAAATAGAAATTCATTCTATTCCTCAAAGGCTTCATCAAACCTTTCATCTTCCGTTGGTTAGATCATTCGTCAATTTATATTCGATACGATCATTTCATAATACCAGAAACACGATCGAAAATATTTCCGCGGAAATTAAGGTATAGACTATGGTTTTTTACATAGGAAAAATATTGTCATTATTCAAGATTCATGATATTTCTACATTATTTAAAAAACAGAGGATCGTTAGATTAGCAAAATGATCTATATCCTCAATTTTCCAAAATAATCTGTAAAAATAGAAATTCATTCTATTCTCTAAAATTAGAAATTCATTCGCATATTTATTTACAAATATTTTTAAATATAGAATAGAATATGTTTCACCAAGTGCATTAAATGATCTGAAACATTTCATTTTACAGACATTGTTTCACCAATGTTTTACAAACGTTGGTTGTCAAAACATTATTGATATGAACAAATGAGTAAAACTTGCTTGATACGTTATTTATCCGATGATCACGAGTCGAAAATTTCATTAAAAAGATTCAGAAGATATTAACAACTTCGTCTGGAACGATAATTTGAAACAAAAAAAGATCGAGTTCGTTCTGGATAGAGTTCTGTTATTAGAAAGCTTATTAATAGATTTTCGGTGAATGAAATAATGTTTTAGGTTAAAAGCTGCTACATGCACAAATATTATTCGGTATGTCACTGAAATCATTCCACCGTTGCGGAAAGTTAGCATTGATAGTCGACAAACCTGATGCATCGAGTTGAAAGCCTCGGTCGAAGCAAGGTCTTCTCCGGCGAAGTTAGATCCCCCTTGAGATTTGCGAACCGTGTGCTAAGCACTTGTCCACGTATCTCCGACTGACAGGATAGGGGAACCAAAATAATCCACTCGGCCTTGCAGACGGATTGTCTCGTGAAATCTGCTCCCTCTTCTGGCAGTAGGTACCGGCGATGTGTCCTAAGTATTATACAAAGACAAGCAGGGTCGAACGAATGACGAGAGCCAAATGGAAAAAGGATTAACTACCGAGACGCACGGTACCAGTCTTTTACTATGTTGTATCATTGAATATTGAAGTACTTAGCTGCTTTTGCGGATCAAAAGGAAAATATAGCGTGGTATTACTGCGGACGCACCAAATACTACGGTATTTTATAAAAGTTATAAAATCTAACATTTTATAGTGTGTAATCTTCTCAAAATGAACCTCATAATTTTTTATATGTTTAATATCGATAATTTCTTGTATACAATCATTTTTACGATTTCAGTGCACTGGAAATTATCTTTGTTGCATGTCATTTCATCGAAACGAGCTTTCAAATACTTGAGATTGTTTTTACGATATTCCGTCGATAGCGTGGAAATGGACGTTGCCAATTTTCAGCGTTCTCAATTTTTTACAACTAAGATTTTGCAGCTAATATTTTACGACCGATGTTTCACGATTACTTCGTTTTTGCTGGTTTGGCCCGCGAAGGCCCCAAATACTCTGCGGTATTTTATAAAAGTAATAAAATCAAAAACATTTTATAGTGTGTAATCATCTAAAAATGAATCTCATAATTTTTGATATGTTTAATATCGATAATTTATTGTATACAATCATTTTTACGATTTCAGTGCACTGGAAATTATCTTTGTTGCATTTCATTTCATCGAAACGAGCTTTCAAATACTTGAGATTGTTTTTACGATATTCCGTCGATAGCGTGGAGATGGACGCTGCCAATTTTCAGCGTTCTCAATTTTTTACAACTAAGATTTTGCAGCTAATATTTTACGACCGATGTTTCACGATTACTTCGTTTTTGCTGGTTTGGCCCGCGAAGGCCCCAAATACTCTGCGGTATTTTATAAAAGTAATAAAATCAAAAACATTTTATAGTGTGTAATCATCTAAAAATGAATCTCATAATTTTTGATATGTTTAATATCGATAATTTATTGTATACAATCATTTTTACGATTTCAGTGCACTGGAAATTATCTTTGTTGCATGTCATTTCATCGAAACGAGCTTTCAAATACTTGAGATTGTTTTTACGATATTCCGTCGATAGCGTGGAAATGGACGTTGCCAATTTTCAGCGTTCTCAATTTTTTACAACTAAGATTTTGCAGCTAATATTTTACGACCGATGTTTCACGATTACTTCGTTTTTGCTGGTTTGGCCCGCGAAGGCCCCAAATACTCTGCGGTATTTTATAAAAGTAATAAAATCAAAAACATTTTATAGTGTGTAATCATCTAAAAATGAATCTCATAATTTTTGATATGTTTAATATCGATAATTTATTGTATACAATCATTTTTACGATTTCAGTGCACTGGAAATTATCTTTGTTGCATTTCATTTCATCGAAACGAGCTTTCAAATACTTGAGATTGTTTTTACGATATTCCGTCGATAGCGTGGAGATGGACGCTGCCAATTTTCAGCGTTCTCAATTTTTTACAACTAAGATTTTGCAGCTAATATTTTACGACCGATGTTTCACGATTACTTCGTTTTTACTGATTTGGTCCACGAAGGCTCCATTACTGCAAAGGCCCCAAATACTGCGGTATTTTATAAATGTAATAAAATCTAACATTTTATAGTGTGTAATCATCTAAAAATGAATCTCATAATTTTTGATACGTTTAATATTGATAATTTATTGTGTACAAGTAACAGCAATCGCAGTTTTTATTCATTTATTGACTTTTGATATTCGGAAGCTTATGAAAACGTCGAGTCTTGAAATGAAATTCTCGTAATAACAGCTTTGAACGCTGATTCGAAAGGCATTTATATTTTGGTAATTAATAATAAAGTATTCGTTTTAGCGTTACCTTTAGATAAAGTAATCATTATTTTGATAAAAAATCGACGTACACTGTTACTATCATCTATCCTCAAATATTATTTACTAACACAGTATTTGGCGCACAGTTGTTTTACTATGTGTGTACATTACTGCGGTGCTTTATTGAACTGCGTACCTTAACCTATACAGTGCAGTTCTCGACGAGCCGGCGCGAACACGCTTGATATTACCTGTACCTAATTTGTAAAGTGCTATGAAAATGTCTTGATCCTAGGAATCGTAGCTGTGTCTGTATTTAAATGAAAATGGGTTATGTCAACCTTGACATGCAGTGATCGAAACGTCCGCAGTATTTGGCTCGCAGTAATGGATACATAACCGCAGTAATATATGCAGAAGAATGGTTTCCTTGCATTCCACTTTTTAATGAAATTTTGTGTTTCCAGAGATGCAATATTTTGATTGAAGTAAATATGCAAATTAAATAATAATAAGTGTAGCTCAAATTCTCAATCTATTGGCGTAAAAGATCGTATTTTCTCTGTCAGAGTTCGCCTTCATTGAGAAACCGCAGTAATACCTACACCAACCCTACTTATGGGAGACATTCGCTGGTTGAAAACAAAAATGAATCGTGGGCCTGTTGCAGAAACTGCTTGGTGAGCCGCGGTTATACGGTGAAAGTGTCGGATCTGGGCTCCGGAAGGAACGCTTACGCCGCTGACTACTTCCAGGTGGAGGGCCGACCTGCGCTTCCAATTCGGTGGATGGCATGGGAATCCATGCTAATGGTAAGTAATTAATTAGTCTTTGACGAGACAATTGGTCGGAATTCCATCCGCCCGTATCGATAATTCGAACGGTTTAATTGGCTGAGTTTGTCGCACGGTGTAAGAAGGAGAGCTGGACCGACTACTGCTACCTCATCACAAAATCTCTGTAACGCTAAAAGTTTACTTCTGCATGTAAAATACGTTATAAAATATCTGTAGAATACATTGGTTTTTTATAGTATAGTTGCATAAGTGTGGTATTTACTATGGTAGCGCTACGGTAGTGAATACTGTACACATTGTAGAAACTCTCATCGATGGTTCGGAATTTTCACTAGAGCTCCTAGCGGACTATATCAGAAGTAAATCTTTAACGTCGTAAGAATAGGGATGAAGTCGGTCCTTCTCTCATTCCTATACTATGATTTGACGCGATTGCGGTGTGTAGAACGATGAAATTTGAGTCTAAGAAAAATATTTATCTCTATCGATATT